GGATCCTGTTACTGTACTGGGTGGAGCTTTAGAAACAAGCCACTCCCTCTACAACGACTTACAGTACATGTACAAGAACTGATTGATTGTGTTGCCAGTTTATATACCAGTACATTGTGTTTAATGGTTTGTTTTCTGTTTCTGTATAAAATAATTGTTGTGTTTTGCTGCAGAATTATTTCTTTAATTTTATCTGATTATGCATATTTGCTAGATAAGGCATCAGTTCTACAGCTAATGATGATTATTGTGAAACAATCCTTTCTTATGTGTGTATAATAACTAGGATTGGTTTATTGGTGAATATAAATGCTCCACTGATGCATGCAATAGCTCAGAATTGAAGAGTTACATGTACTTAAGGTGTGGCAGTTATGATGTTAAAGTCATCATTGCAGTTGTGTTTCTTTAACAGTCAAGATGTGCCTCTCTCTCCTTTCTTTATTGTTGTTATTGTTAAATGGTACAGTACAGTCTAATGATTGTAGTACTGAAGGATTTATGGAACCAAGTTTACTGGAGGCTAAAACTGGCAGTACTAACAACAATGGACCAACTACTGCAGGACTAGCAGAATCAGTAGAGACAAGATGGATCATCACTGATACGAAGTTCAGTAAGAGTTGCTTGAGTTCTACTGAAGTATTAGTTGGAGTTGATATTAGAACTGAAACTGATAACAGGACTGAATACCCTGGAATAGAGATATGGAGAGAATCAGGAGGTCATTATGATAGAGACCCAATATCTGTTGAACTTAGATTATCTCCACACAATTTTACTACAAATGGACTGTATTGTGTTAGACTACCTACTCCTTTGAACATTAGGGGAATGACAGGTACCTCCAACTGTTACAGACTAGGAGTATATCAACCTCCTGATGATAGAAGTGTTGTTAGATTTTATAAAGTAACTGGTACTGGTCAAATTGGAACACTATTTAGACAAGTTGATATTAATAATGATGATGTTAGCCAAACTCCCAATCAAACATGTAGTCAAATCCTAATACAACCAACTACATTAGGTATGTCACTAATGAAACATATTTATTATTTTAATGTATTTATAGGTAACAGTTGCAGTAATCCTCCAATTAGCAGTTTATTTAATACAAACAGTCTATCAGTTACTAATGTAATACCAGTCAATGATACAAGAGCTGTTCCTGATATACAGTTCACATGTAATGGTATTATTACTAACTGGATAATTGGTATTACACAGAATCAGGATACAAGCAAACATTATCCTAACATTTATTTAAAACGTTCTTCTGAACTGATTCATGCACTAACTGTTGATGCTTCTGCTGCTACATCAAGTAATGGTAATGTATATAACTTTACAAGTGATATTGAAGTACAGTATGGAGATATATTAGTAATCAATGTAACCACTAATAGTAATCCAATGTATTATCAACAATACAATGGACCATTGAATTATCAGCTTGATGATAGCAGTGATGAATTAATACCATTGGAACATAATGACTATCCACTGATATCAGTTGTGGTAGGTAAGAACTATAATAGTATATACATGAACTGTGTTTGTTCTCTTCTGATACAGTCAGTGCTCCAGCATCATTAACAACAGATACAATGATACCTTGCACAACAAGTACCAGCAGTACCACAAGTAAGACTACACTATCATGATGATGTTATTTACAAATACACACCTCCACTGCATGCACAGCTCCAGGAATAACCACTACAATTAGTAGTACATTAACTCCTTTCATGAGTGAGTTATCAACAATTACTACTAACATAAATACTCTTCTTGTCTCATTAGGCAGCTATGCATTGATCTATTCCACAGCTGCTGTAACAACAGAATCAATGGAATCAACATCAAGTATCACTAAAGATAGTTTTACAATAGGTACTACATCAGTGACGAGTACACCAGTTAGTACATTACAAAGTACTGGCAGTAATACAATAATACTAGCAGGAAGTATTAGTACAGTATTTATATTACTGGTAGTTACTATACTAGTAATATTAATAGTGAGTGTATTAGTGTATAAAAAACGACACCAAAAGCTAACATCAAGAGGTAATTTTCCAATGGATACACGTTCAACTGAGACAGAACTGATTAACATGTCTAATCCTATCTACCAACCACAAGGTATTACAATGACAATAAAAGCTATTGATCACTTTGGTGCAGTGGGGTAGCATAGTAGCTTTTATTGGTACTAGATTAACTGTATCAATTTATAATAGCAACAATCATAACATATTTCATTTCAGTAGAGTATACTATTACTTTGTTTGTAGGTATAAATCCATTTCCATATGAAGAGCCAAAACCGGTAATGAATGGAATAGAATCAGTGTACAGTGATGTTTTAATCAATATGTTTTAGACTATTTGTCAAACTGAAAATGAAACTTATAACTTATTAGGAGAAGCACTCACCATTCCTACAGCAGTATGTTACCAGTAATCATGAATGATAATAATTTAATGTGCCAATGAAATTTAGAATGAACGTTTGGGTGGAGGAAAACAGCAACAAGACATTTATTCCACATTGATGAATGAGCAGGTACAAAATACATAATATATGATATAGTGTATATACAAATGATATATACAGAAGGTTACTTTACTTTATTTTTAGTACTCCTCTGCATATTCAAGACTTGATCATACTGGGAGTAATGGATTCTTTATAGAAGATACTGAGTACTGGGAACCTGATAGTAATACTGATGGTATATACCAACAATTATCTGATAGGAAATACAGAGAAATTATAAGACACCAAATAAAGTAAGAGAGAGAGGGAGAATACGTAAGGACAGTAACAGGAAGGGATAATGTCAACAGTAACAT